ATCTGTTAAGTTGCCCAGGCTGGCCTCAAACTTGTGATTCTTCTGCCTCAGTCTCCCAAGTCTCTGGGAGTAAGGTATGCACCACCACGCCTAACAATTTGTTTTTAAAAGTTGTTTAGAAACTTTGTGGTCATGAGGGATATTGGTCAGTAATTTACTTTTTTGTAGTAATGTCTTTATTTTGGTCATTATTTTGATGTTGGCAACGTATTCTAAATTGGGAAGCATTCCTTTTCGATTTTCTAGAAGAGTTTGTGTAGGACTAATATTTCTTCCAGAAATGTTGATGGCATTTGCTAGGAAAGTCATCTGATCTTGGGCTTTTCCTTGTGAAAAAGACTTCTCACTGTTATTATTTACTGGGCAAGTCAGTATATGGATCAAAGAATAAATCAAAGAGAATACTTTGAACTGAAAAATAAAAACAGTATCAAAAGGTGTGATGTGCTGCTAAGGCAGCAGGGGAGGGGACAATTTTTAGCACTCAGTGGTTATATTAGAAAATAAGAGCGGCCTTAAATCAATGCTATTCCCTCCTTTAACTAGAAAAAAATGAGCGTCCCTAGTTGTATTTTTCAAGGACATTTTCTGTTTCATCTAAGCTGATGAATTTATTGATGGTTTCCCATGAAGACTTTTTGGCCCTGCTATTCACTGTGTTTAAATGAAACTGGCGATGCCACCTCGCCTGTCGTTGGCAATTGACCTTTTCTCTTCATGGTTTCTGTGGTAGAGGTCGGTCAGTCTGATTGATCTTCTATGAGACTCTGCATTTCATCCCCTGGACTCTCCTCCAAATCTTCTGTTTTCTAGTTCATTGATTTCTGTGCTGATGGTTATTATTTCTGTTCCTCTTTCCTGCTGCCTTGGTAACACATCCCACTTTTGATACTCTTTATGTTCATTCAGTTCAAAATACTTTTTTGACTTTGAACTGTGGGTTCTATTTGGTTTTGAAATATTTAGGGATTTTCCCAGGGATCCTTCTTTTATCATTACCCTTTTCCTAATTTAATTTCATACTTTAATTTCACTGCGGTCGGAGAACATATTTTGTATAGTGTTTTTTTTTTTTTTTTTTTTTAAATACTTCCAAATGCATCGAGACTTGTTTTATGGCCCAGGAGATAATCTCCTTGATAAATTCTTCATGTGCCTTTGAAAAGAATGCAGACTGTGTTGAGGAAAGTGTTTTATAAATGTCAGGTCAAACTGGTTGCTAGTATTGTGGATTTTCTTCTTATCCTTCATAATTTTTACTTCTGCCACTGACTAAGAAAAGGGATTGAAATCTCGGACTGTAATTGTGGATTTTTCTCTTTGACGTTCTGTGATCTACCCCACCCCCCATTGTTTGAATTGGTTAGGTACGTAAACATTTAGTATTCTTTTGTGTTGATAAATTTATTGCTATGAAATGGCCATCTAAACCCTGGTAGTATTTTTGCTCTAAAAATCTCTGCAATTTTGTCTGATAACACTAATCCATTGGTGGAATATTTGTAACACTGCATACCTTTTATTACATGTTTACTTTTTGTGGTGCTGGAGGTCAAAGTTGGGGCTTCGAGCATGCTTTGTAAATGGTCTACTGCTGAGCTCTACCCCAAGCCCTCTGTATTTTTACTTTTGACTTACACCCACCCCACTTCAAATGTTCAGACATAGGGGTGTGTGTGTGTGTGTGTGTGTGTGTGTGTGCGCGTGTAGGCAACATAATTGGGTGTTTGTACATTTTGAAAATCTCTGCATATTAATTGGGTTACTTATGCCATTTACATTTAGTGATAAATTTAAACCTAACCATATGGATAGTTATCATCTCCCTGGTTTTTTTTTTTTCCTCGTCTTTTTCCTACCACCTTTGCATTTGTTGACTTTATTGTTCATGTATCCCTTGCTTGGCTTCCTAGCTATGGCTGTCTTGTTAGTTTAGTACTTGCTATAGGATTTATTATAGATACCTGTAACTTATCATAGTTGTCTCTTAAATGATGTTATACCAATTTGGAAAAAGTATATGCACTAAAGTGTGCTCCTATTCCCCACCATATGCTGTTTTTCTCACATTTTACATGTCAAAAATACCACACAACATTGTTATTTTTTGAGATTTAAGCCCTCATAAAAACTGTTATGCCTATGTAGTTACCATTTATTGTTCCTAAGTTCTTTGTAGATTCAGATAATGTCATTTTCCTTCTCTCTGAAGGACTTTTCCAGAATGGCCACATGGTTTCACATTTCCACGAGCAGTGTCTCTATCACTATCATCTTGATTATTCTAGTGATTGGAAAGTGGTATACTATGTGGCTTTGATTTTTGATATAAAAGCATCTTTGTGCATGTATTGGCCATTTGTAGAAACCAGTGTTGATTCCTTACCCATTTTAAAATTGGGTCTGTCTTACTGAGTTGTAATAGTCCTGTGAGGGAGGCTGCCACATCATGTGACCAGTGTTTTCCCCTCCTGATTGGTTGAGGCACTGTCAATCACTCCCCCCCCCCATGATCTGGCTACTCTTAAGTTGCTGAAGACGGTAGCCCCAATCTTGAGGGTAGAAATAATGCAACCAATTGTGTCTTCATGCGTAGGCGTGCCTTTTGCAGCCCCATGGACTGAGCTACGCTCACCTCACCCGTTCCTTTGTGATATTACCCTCTTGCCCTGTTTGGGATAGAATGTTCCATGGAAAGGCCCCTTGTGTGTCTCCTTCTCTTACTCTGCCCTTGGGTGTGGCCTTCCTAGATGTCAGTGGACATCTAGATGACAGTGGACATCATGAAGATAGACTCGGCCCCCTGAACCTGACCCCTTGCCCCATTTGAATGGCTTCTCAATAAAAGGGGTCAGCGTGTGCTCGCTTGCTCTTTCTGCGGACCCTTAAGGTCAGAGGAGCTGTCACAGGACCCCCAAAGGAAAAGGTATCTGTGTCTTGTGTGGCAGCTCCCCTGGAGTGACCCCTGAGTGTTTTTGTTTCCAGGAACGCGGCAGTCCTGTGTATGTTTTAGGTCAGATCCTGTTACATGAGATTTAAACAATATTAATCTTCTTCATGGACATGAGATGTCTTTCTGTGTATTTGTATTTATCTCAGTAACACATTATAGTTTTCAAAGTGTAAATCTTATAATTTTCTTGTTAGCTCCATTCCTAAGTATTCTTTTTGATTTGTTAGAATAAATTTTTTGTCCATGGTTTATTCATTATTAACATACAGGAATGCAGTGGGATTTCATATCCTGTAAATTACTATGTCTAATGGTTCTCCAATTGGATGGCACAGGAGTTTGCAATTTTTGCGTTGTAAACAATGCTTTAGTGTTCATTCTTGCGTGTGATTTCCTGTACCATTCTCAAATCTCTTACAAAATTTGAATTGCGGTGTCAATTTATGTATACTCAAGTTTGTTAGTTATTTTAATTTATTTTGGGGGGACCAGGGGTTGAAATAAGGGGCATTATAGCCACTGAGCCACATACCCAACCCTTTTTCATTTTTTGAGACGGGGCCCCTCACTAAGTTGCTTAGGGATTTGCTAAGTCTCTGAGGCTGACTTTTGAACTTGGCAATCTTCCTGCCTCAGCTTCTCCTGAGCTACTGGGATTACAGGTGTGCACCATTATGCCTGGCTGTTGAGATATTTTAAGAAAGTGAAACCACTAGTTGGGTGCAGGGGCTCACATCTCTAATCCCTGCAACTTGGGAGGCTGAGTCAGGAGGATCACAAGTTCAAGTTCGAGGCCAGCCTCGGCAATTTAGTGAGAGCCTGTCTCAAAAAGGGCTGGGGATCTAGCTCTGTGGTAAAGCATCCCTGGGTTCATTTCCCAGTACAAATAAATAAAATAAAAAACACTTGTTTTAAACCATAGTTCTGCAGACTTTTTTTTTTTTTTTTTAGTGCTTAAAGAATTGTAAGCAAGCCAGTGTACCCCCCCTCAAGTGCAGATGAGCTCCCTGTGGCACTATTTTCTCTGCCTCGAATAGTTGACGTTCAGTGCGTCTCCTGGGGGGCAGGGTCTGTGTGGTGAAACGGGGGCATTGTGGATGGGTTGGCCCTGTGGAGGCATCACGACTTGCCCTTCTGTCCAGCTGCTCCCCTGCACCTGGTGTGGGTGAAGGTTTTGCTGTTTGGGTGAATGGGATTGATGGTCTGCCCCCTCTCTCCCCGCCGACTTCTTAATCAGATGGCAATGTCAAAATTTTGGCTGTCAACCAAGTTTATTCATCATTTTGTTTCTTCCAAGCAAAGAGGAAAATATGGTACTGTTCTCCTCAAGACTATTTTACCTTAGGCTTTCAGGTTGAAATTAAGGCTCATCTCAAAAAAACAACAAAACAACCTGAATTGTAACAACCATGTTTTATAGTTTATAAAAATGTCTTGGTTGCTTTTGGAAGTTGGTTAAATTGAAGGGTCCAATGCTGAGTCATTTAGGGTTTTAAAAATAATTTTTTTTTGTACTCGGATTGGATCCAGGGGTGCTTAATCACTAAGCCACATCCCCAGCCCCCTTTTAAATTTTGAGACAGGGTCTCGCTAAGCTGCTGAGGCTGCCTGGAACTTGCCATCCTCCTGCCCCAGTCTCCTGAGCCCCTGGGCTTACAGGTGTGTACCACTGTGCCTGGCTCTTTCAGGAATTTTGTTGGTGTTTATTGCCATCAGAGTGAGTTGGTTTTCAGCGGGCATGTTGTGCAGTATGATCTGTGTCAACCCCTAGTGAGAACTACACATCCCGCCCTATTGCTTTTAGTTGATGCTTCCCCATGATTGTGGAGGAAAGCAATGACTGACGTGAATCGTGGCGTTTTCAACGTGGGTTTGCAGGTCAGGGTCTAGGACCTGGTCTGTGAAGCACCCCAACGCTGCCCTTGCTGTGCTGTTGTGGGCTGTGTTCCTAAGGTGGCATTTTCTCCCCAGTCGGCCTCAGCCCCAGTCTGCGGCAGCCCCACTGACATATAGGGCGTGGTCTCTGCATAGGAAAAACCACAGTACATCAAAAAAAAATTTTTTATTTGAGACACAAAAATGCAAAATCGCTGAGATATATCAAACATTTCCCGATCAGCTACTATACTGCCACTATGTACAAAAGATCTGATGATAAATGTGCACACATATAAAAATACAGTATGCTTCATATATGTACAGTACATGTGCAAAATGTATGGCATTCAGACATGATGTGGAACTGGTTTCAGGGGTGCAAACAGCAAATGAAGGCATCATGGTTTAAAAAAAAAAACACAACAGAAAGGCAATACATGAATGGACCCCCGACTGCCATAATTTTTTTAAAATTTTTTAAACTAGTGTTGTAATGAGCAGGGCTCTGCAGATTGGTATCTTTCTCCTTTTTTCCCCCATAAAGTGAGATGCTAAGACATAACGTGACAATGAAAATAAGAGAAACACCTATCACGCTGCATTTCTATTGCAAGCAAAAAAAAAACTGATTCTTACAGGGGAAGGAAAAAAAATTGTTACTATTGAATATGTACTACTCCTAAACCAACAAAGCAACTCTAAACTATTTTACATGAAAATAGAGAATATCTACATCTCTGTGAAAATTACAACCTTAAATGGATAATACCTTTTTGGGACTGATATTTTGAGATCTCCGTAGTCTCAAATTTTAAATAAAAAGTGCCTCCTTTTGGCAAATACTTGGCAATGCCTTTGGTTCCGTTTTAAAGCATTTTGCATCACTATGGGTTGCTTGAGGTCAAGTACTCTTGGTAGACTCTAAACCTTTTCCTAAGTGCTTCCTCTTCCTACCAAATTAGCAAGATTTCTTACAGCATAATGCAGAGAGGTAATTGTTCTGTTTGGGGATTCTAGACACCTGGGTAAAGCTTAGTCTCAGCAGTTGGCATGAAGCTCTGTTACCCTGTGGCTGTGCTGATATCACCAATGGCTGTTTTGCTGGAGTCCAGGTAGCACCCGTGGATCTGCCTGCCATCCTACTGCCACCAAACTCCGGTGCTTCCCATCACGTTCACAGAGCAATGTATGTGCGTGGAGGATGAAGCTCTTTTGTAAACACGTGCAGCTTTTTGATTTACAGGCCATAAAAAATCTCGGGTAGAAACCTTTGCAAGGATGCATTTTCTCAGATACTGCAAGAAAGGGTGAATGGGGAAGAAACATGGGCCTGCTTATTGCCACATGGTCATGTCACAAATAAGAACAGCAGCCCAGAAAGATTGTTCAATGAGCAAGTGATCAAAGATTGAACCAGAAAAAAAAGACTATTTTAATTGTTACTTTCCAGTTTTGGTTAAAGTCACTTAAAAGACCGGCAGAAGTATAGCGAGGGTGCTCTCGAGACACACTTATGAACTTCGTAGGCGGTGCTCCTCGACAAGCCTAACCTTCCAGTTCATGTTCTTGGATCATCTTGTGCTAATTCTGCATCCTCTGGGGCAGTGGGTCAATTGCACTTGGCGTTCTGTTGCCAGTATTTGACATTCATGTGTATAGTGAATGATAGTAAAAAAGGGAGCTGTTGGTGAATTTGATTAAAGGACCTCGTGTTCTCCTGCTGGTGACACTTAAAACCTATTCTCTTCAAATGTCCTTAAAGTCTCCAGTGTGCCACAGGCTCCTGCCTGACTGGCCAGGTGCTTCTGGGGCTTGGACCTCATGGCCTGCAGAAATGGCAGGGAGGGTGAATGCTGACATGTGGGTTCCTCTGACACTTTCAACCCTGCCATAGTGCTCTGCCACCTCTGAGCTCAAGTCCTTATCATCATCTGTGGGGATAGCTGCTTCACCAGCTGCGGTGGCTTGGTCAGCCTGGGAATTCTGAAAGGACTCTGAAGACGGCTGTGCTGCCTGGAATGACTGGGAGCAGGGGTGAGGGAAGCCCAAGTTGGCTCTGGCCACAAAATGGGAAACGTCTTCCTGTGCGCCACTGGGTGTCTGGACTGCAAGGCCTGGGGATGCCACCTTATTTCTGTGACCTTGCCTTCTGTAGGCAGCAGCTGGGGCAGCACCTCTGCCACTGTTCCTGATTAGCACTCACAAGCCAGCAAGTGTCAGTTACATGGGTCACAGAACCCCATGGTTTTCAAAAAGGAAATTTAAATAAGACCTATTAATATTACAAAGATATTCATGAAACACATAGTAACTCCACAAAAAAATTCCACAAATTCTGAATCTATGTAGATATGTGGCAAATCCTATAAGGTAGCTTGCACATTTCAGGGAACATGCTGGAACATGATCTACCAACGTCGACCTAAGATGACTCCCAGGAGACGCTACAATGAGATGTGCAGGATGACCCCCCCCCCACCCCAAGCCTTTCTAGGAGCTTTAGCATCGTTCTTTTTATCTACCCCACCCCCAAGAAGTTGACCTGATTATAGTAGAAGGGAAGGTCTATGCTACTGTGTTGAGACTATGCAGGGAAATAAGATGGGTGTGACAATGTTTCTAGGCCTGTTTCCTTGGCAATGGAGTACTTTGCAATATGATGTACAACAGCAGCACATCTGAACCACACACATGCATAGTGAGAATTCGACTTTGTCCTATGTTTTGTCCTGTGCTTTAATGGCTATGAAACTAGCTTCCAACAGCAGAAAGCCACCTTTAGTTCGTGCACATCACCTCTGCCAGGTCAAAGGCCTGGTGTGCAGAGTGGTCTTTGGTTGTGTCACATGCGCGCCAACACACTGCCCATGTGCTCGCCCTTACCTGGACATGGGGGTGAGGCCCTGGAAAGTGGCACTGTGTCCCAGGTGCCTGCTGGCTACTTGGGCTGGGAAAGGGGGGCCAAGTGGAATGGTGCGAGTGGGATGGCTGCTTGTGGGAGGTGCTGCAGGCCCACTGCCTTCTGGAGGACGAGACGCTGCACACCAAGGCTCAAGCGCATGTAGGCTGCTCTTTGACTACACATTGCTAACAATTCTTTGTGCTGCGTGATGTGGTGTGTTTCAAGTTCTCAGGTCCCTACTGATGAAGGGACCCGAGGGCTGGAAAACGATCTGTGCATGCAACTCGGGATTATGGAACCAGGAAGTCACTCAACAGGCGTTAGGAGCACAAGGTGTTCAGTTGCCTTCTACAGTCCCACTGCTAGTCGGTGCTAATTAACACACTATTAAAATCTGAACAAAGAAGGTGCTAGGAGACTGGACCTGATGAACCCCAGACAGAAGCCCTCAGAAAAATCCAGGGCTAAGACCTTCCATAGGGAAGGTCACTTCCCAAGTGATAACCTGGCTCTGGAGACCATCCCTACCCGGGAACTGACCTGGGTCCCATTAGCTATGCTGGGAAGCCCTCATCTGCCTGGGTGGAGCTGGTCATAGACTTGCCGTACCCTGGGGTGGGTTGCCAGTTTCATCACTGACTACGTTGAGCACAGTGGCCTCTGCCTTGCATGTCAGCACCATCAGCACCTTCAAGCCAGAAAGTGCAGTTAACAGAGGGCTCCAGGGAGCTAGTGTTGGAAAGGTGGACTTTTCTTACATATAGTAAAATTTATAGACCAAAAAAGAATTATATTTTTAGGCAAAACACAAATCCAGAAATGATTCACAAATTCTTCCCAAACAATGGGTCAGGCTGCCTCTTGCGTATCACTGTGTGGAGCATCCACCGTCTAATAACCCAGGAATCAACCTGGCCCTTGGGCCTACACAGGGTGAGGAGACGGCACAGTGTCATTATTTAGTAAAGCCCTCCACCCTTGTTTGGAAGATTTCAGTTTTTTGTTCCATTATTTACATTTTATATATACCTAAAACTACTAGATCAAAATAATTTGGGAAATCTTGATAGTTGGCATTTCAGAAAATTTCTTAAACTACTTGACAAATGTGATAGTTTTTTTTTAAATATAGAAAAACATTAATAAAACCTCCAGTTTTTTGATATTTAGGCTTGATAATACAGTGAGAGCTTGGGTAGGACATCCAGTTACAAGCCTGTAAGATGATAACCAGGGACTGGTGACAAAGACAGCCAGAGCTGGGTCTGGTGGCCAAGCTCATGGACAGTCTAACTTGGACTTGAGGTGGGAATGTCCTGGTCCTGGTTCACAGAAGACTTCCCCCTTACCTTCCATTCTTCTAATTCACCAGCTCAGAAAGACATTTCATGCTAGCCTTTTCTTGGTTCATTGAGATGGGTCTGGTTACCTGAAAGTTAGTCAGCAATTCTTTAAATATGAAAATACATGTGGCTCAAGTACTCTAGAAATATTGAGTTCTTAAAGTAGGACCACTGGATACCCATTTCCTTACCCTAACGTCAGCTATACAAATCACAAAGTCAGAGTGTACATATAAATGCCTAATATACACATTAAAACCAATCGAATCAACCCAGAGGGCTGGCTGCTAATAGAATTTTCAGTGTTATCAATATACCTGGACTTTTTACAGTGGATTGTCTGACAATATCTTGTAGACATATGGTTGTGGTGAAATATCTTCCATTTAAATTTGGAATTCTAAAGTAAGATTCCAAAAATTGCAAAATAAACTACAACAACAACAACAAAAAATCACAGGTTTCTGAGTGGAGCAAAAGTCTTCCTTTGGAAGCTGTCGAACCAAGCTGGGCAGCACTCTCCACTCTCCGACCCCCCGCTGTGCCCGGCTGGCTCAGGCCATCTCTAGGAAGTGGCTCCTGCAGAGACCTTTCCTCTCCCTCACTGCGGCCTTGGTTTGTGAGTGGAGCTGTCTGCCTTTTATTTAGGGTCCCAGTGACCACAGAGGTTTACATGTAGTTGATTACCAGAGAATCCTAGTGTCATTTTCCTGCATGTCTTACCCTTTCTCATGTCTTTAAAGGTACTTTTCCTTCTGTACTGCAGTCTGGAGAACCAGGCGAGTCTTCTTGGACTAGTGTTTCAGAAGGCCCTGTGCCATGTTATATTGTAGGAATTCACTGCTGAATGCAATGAAAGGTTTCAAACTTGGTTTCCAGGCCTTGACCTTCTTAGCTACTCTTTCTATTACGTGTTTTAATTGCAACAATGCAACTATGGATCTATCTCTAAAAACTGACCTCTTAGAATCTTCTTCATATTCTGAAACCTCATGAATTCTGAGACAAGCAGCCTATGATGTTAGTCCCATGGCAGCGGGAGGTCCTGTGGGTCTAGAAAGTCCGCAGAGAACACGCTTGGTGCAGTGGTGCTGAGGGGAGTGAGCCCCGAGGATGTGTTGGGCATGGTGATGTCCAGCCACTCCATGCTGTCCAGGTGGGAGTCTGAGAGGTCGAGAGACAGACAGGGAGCCCCTGCGGCACACTGGGCCTCGGAGGTCTCCATGGGTGAGTGTGCGTGGCCCAGCATGCCAGAGTGACTCAGCAGCTCGTTCTGGAGATCCTCGATCAGGGAGAAGGGTTCCCTGTCTTCACTGCTGCTTTGTAGTGGAGCCATTTCACTGCCTGAAGGTAAAGTTCCGTCCAAGAAGGCTTCTAGTTGGTTCTCTAAGCTGGCGGATAAACTACTCATAGGTTCTAAGGACACAGGTGGTGCCATTTGGACTTGGGGTGGTGGCCGGGACACCACTGTGTTGACTGGCATGGTGGTGATGCTGGCTGTCACTGGCCTCATTTTGGAAATTGGGGAAGGCTCTTCTTTTATAGGGAGGGAAATCTCTGGAAAATAATTGAAGTAAAGATTTACTACTATTTTAAAATTTCTATTAGTAGGGCAATTATTTTGCTGTTTTGTGACTCTTGTTCTCACCCCTCTTAGAGATGAGAGAAATGCTATTCGTCAGGTTTAATCCTTGATTATATCTTTAGGATGATGAATCATTTTAGCTAAATAGATAAAACAAAAGCTTATTAAATTCTGATGTGTTTTCAGTTTTTCCTCAGTAAGACTAAGCATTGCAAGCTATAATATCCTATTTGACAGGAATCAAGGGCTTATTTAATTATTGGGTCCTTATTCTTAGTCATTAAGGTTTTAAGGTATGGCTCCTTATCTGACACCGTGAATCTGCTGATAACTGCATGAGAACCTCAAATTGAATGGAAATATTTCTCCTGAGTTTGCAAAGAGACGTGAAGTATATTCTTAATATTACGAAAGATCTAATGTTTTCTTTGAAAAAAAAATCATTATAGTTGGACAGTGTCTCCAATTCAGCCGTACACATTTTATATAAAGTTCTGAAAACATAAATGACATTTTCTAAAAAAAAAAAAAAAAAAAAGAAAAAAAATTTAGTTATAGGTGAATTCAATGCCTTTATTTATATGTGGTACTGAGGATTGAACCCAGTGCCTCACATGTGCTAGGTGAGCACTTTACCGCTGAACCACAACCCCAGCCCTACAAGTGTAAGCTGAGGCACAGATAACCTTGACACTTTTTTTTAAGACTACATATATACAAAGTTCTTTAGTATTATTGCTTTTGACCAAACAGGGCAACATGGTTGTCACAGAATTAAAGTGGAACTGGAATGTTCTCATCTCTTGAAAATGAGTGATACTCGTGGGATACAATTTGAGATTTTCAACACAGAATTTAAATCCAGTTTTACTTTGTTTGGCAAGGAATCTTTTTCAGCAGGCAGATATCTATGGATAAATCTAATGTAATATTACTGTTTGGAGCTGAATCAATGACTTTTCCTTGTTTAGGTAAATGACCTAAAGCTCTGGAGGAGACCTGTCACAGATGTGTGGAGAAGCTACTTCCTGGGGGGGCGGTGGGCAGCATGACCTCTGACCTACCTCCACTCTTTATGAGGATATCAAATAGGTCGTCCATCTGCTGACTGTGTGCGTTGGAAATCTACGGCAAAGGAGAAAATGTGTTAGCAGCCTTGCGTACGAAGGTGGGGGTACTGAGGGACTTCACAGAACATCTACTTCTAATCTGTAATTTGATGATTTGGAAAATGAGGTCACCCAAGAAGTTCAGCCATTTACCCCAAGAGTCACAGCTGGCTAGGTTGGCTAAGAGCTAAGAAAGAAGGGAATAAGATGTTAGCCCAGCTGACTTCCACACTTCCCTTATTTTCTATCACTGAATTGGATTTCAAGAAGTCTCTAATACAGTATATTTCATTTAGGTAAAGTTTTAAGTGTCTAAAGACGATCATCTTTGTTGAATTGTTAACTGCTGTGTTTCTGGTCATTACTGATGTGGTTAAATTTGGGTTTACCATTTTATTATTTACTAGTCGTCCTGTCTGGTTTTTTGTTTCCCTGTTCTTTCCTTCCTGTCCTCAAAAAATACTTTAGAAAAAGTTAGAACTTTTTTTTTAAAAGTTTCATTTCATTATATGAAAAAAAATTGCTCCTATAGATATACAATACATATCCTTAGCTTTATGTCTACTTAATGTTGTAACAATACATTAAAAAATAGGGAATACTGTAACTGTATAGATCCATTTATTTCCTCTCATTTATCAGTTGTAAATATTTAAGTTATAAAATCAAGACAATGCTATCTTTGATGAATTAGAACTTCAAAAATGTTATTTTACTCTTCTTTCCATACTTTTTTTTTTTATGAAAAGTTGACATTAATCAACTTTTTGCCCTATATGTAATGTGTTGTTTTTTCTTTATGCTTTCAATTATTTTTTGCTCTTGAAAATTTGACTAGATCTTCTATTTACCCAACTTGGTGTTTATTGGGTGTCTCAAAGCTATAAATTTATCTTTCATTATATTTCTGGAAGTTTTGACATTACTTCAAATATCCATCTGTTTCATTCTTCCTCTTTTCTCCTTGTCTTATATCTGCATCATATTGTTACATAACAGGGCTCTGAGGCTTGGTATGTAGACTGGGTAAGTTCTACTGAGCTGTCTTCCAGTTCACTGACTCCCCCCCCCCCCGCCAACTGCCAGAATTTCCATTTTGTGAAGTTCATCTATGATTTTTTTTTCCATTTCAGATATTTTAGTTCCAGAATTTCCATTTAGCCTTTAAAAAATCATTTCTGTATCTGTATATGTTTAGATCCCCTGTCTCTTCATTATAAATATATTTTGTTTCACATCATTGAGGAGGTGGTTCCTTTAAACCCTTGTTTGCAAACTCCAACATGTAGATCAGCTCTGAGTTGGTCTCGCCTCAGCTGATTGCCTCTTTTGAAGACAGGCTGTTCTCACAACCTTGATGTTGCATGTTAGAAGTGGATGGTGTGGATGTTCTCATTGCTCTAAGATGAGCAGGTTCTTTTGGTTTAGCAAGCTATTAATGTGGTTGGACTTCGACTGAGAAACATCTCTGGGGTAGCTAGCTGTTCCATCTTGGTTTAGATTTGTCTTCACCCGAGCTGCTGAGTCTACCATGCCTATGTGGCTTAGGGGTCAGCCAGAGAGGCAGACAAGGTGGGACTCTTTCTGTTTCCCTTTGGCTGCTCTCAACCCTGTCCTCTATCTAGACCACAGAGTGTCTAGGTCACTTTCTAAGAGTGACCCTGACACTTGGCATGACCCTAGAGCAAGAGGAGGGAACCCCTGCCATGTGACTTCTCTCTCCCAGTGTGGACCCTCACTGGAACGTGACTGCTTCTACTTGTCTTCAATGCCTTCATGTAGCTGCTTTTTGTATTGTGATCAGGATTTACAGCTGTTACCTGTGGGAAGACTAAACCAGGATAGCCTTGTTGAGCCACCCATGGCACTGGATGTCTGAGTAAATGTACTTCAGAAACAAAAAAAACCAACTGAATTTCTAGAGTTTGGGTGCTCAATGGCACATAAAGAGGGACTGTAGACACAGTGTTACTCCTACTCACAAACGGAGAACTCGTTTCCCTTGGTCTGTAAATATGAACCCAGAGACACGTAAACCCCATGGGTTCCAACAAGTTGTCTTAGGTTAAAGAGAAAGCTGCTCCTTTCTTGTTACATAAATCAAGGAGGCAGTGCTAATAAGCCTACACATGAAAGCCAGTTTGGAAGGATCAGTTCTACCTTTCTATTTTCATAAAAACACTAGTTGAGCACTTGCCAACTCATTTTTGCTCCCTATGAAGAATACATGCTACTTTTGAGTGGACCATGGGGGAGGACAGTCTAGTTGACTTCTAGGTGACTCTCAAAAAAAAAAAAAAAAAAAAAAAAGAGAGAGAGAGAATTTTTAATATTTATTTTTTAGTTCTCGGCGGACACAACATCTTTGTTGGTATGTGGTGCTGAGGATCAAACCTGGGCCGCACGCATGCCAGGCGAGCGCGCTACCGCTTGAGCCATATCCCCAGCCCCTAGGTGACTCTTAATTGTTTCGATTTTTATTCTAAATGTTTAAACCTGTTTCTGAAATTTGGGTTTTTCCTCATGGGTCCCTTGTTGAGTCTGGAACTGAGGGAATGTTTTTACAACTAGAGAGGCTGTCTTCTCTTGGCACTAAGTGGATACTAGAAGCATATGATAACTGTTTCCTCAGACAGGCAGTCCACCATAGGCCTGAGCATCCATGTGCCCTCCGTGAGGGTGCCCAACTGCACACTGTCATCTGCCGGTTTCTATAGATGCTCACTTTGGCTACAAGGTAGGTTCAGCCAACTACGGTGTGATGACACATTCCCGTGGTGGAGGGGGACTGGTTTATATGCTCTATGGGGCTGGGGCCCTTTCTAGAAAGTAAGTTAAGTTTTAAGCTTTGAAAGAGCTTTGGAGAGGTGGGGAGAGTCAGAGGTGTGTTTAGGGTAAGGGATGATGAGTGCTGCTAGGTCTGGGCATTCGCCACAGGCCAGATGATTTATACACAGGGGCAGCTGCAACTGTTCCTGTTTTTTCAATGAAACAAGGCTCAGAGGTCAATGTTGGTGGGCATAGGTATTGCAAAGCCTGGAGAACTGCAGGTCTGTCAAATCCACAGTGTACCCTGAGGGGCAGAGGGTACTAGAGACTAGGAGAGATGATGCAGGGTAAAGTGGATTTAGCTGGCCTGACAAAGGTGGCTTTAGAAATGAGGAAGCTGAATAAAATATGTGCCCTGCTATCGAGCACATGAGCCCTTAACATAACTGATTCCTCTGTAGCAAAGGAAAAGTTAGACAAACCCTGGATTCTGAATAAGCAGTACCTACAGGTAATTTCTCTACAGAAATGTTTGGGATTCTTCATAATGAGATTTTAAATACCAGTTAAAATATGAAGCTCCTGATTATAATTTTTGTTTCACTAAGGCAAATCAGTCTCAGACAAAGGATCTGGTATAGGGCTGCTGAGGATGGATGGGGGGAGCTCATGAAACACCAGTTTCATGAACTGTGACTGTCCACACTCACCTCTGGAAGGGACTGTGCACTGCGTGTCTGCTTGATGGCCTCTTCGTAGCGGGGTGGGTCTTTTGCCTTGGTGACTGGGGTCCCAAACAGAGAGTGCTGGATGACAAACTGTTGGGGTGGAGGGGGTGAGCTAGGCTGTATCAAACAGAGGAAGAGCATGAATTAGCTCTTGGCAGCAAGCTTGCTCCTGCCCTGACTAGACTCAGCTCTGCAGTTCTTGCCAATCAAAGATCTTTAGCAGCAGCTCTTTAAGGACCTGGGCAGCTGAGGTCTCTGGTGGGCCACCTTGTGTGACCACAGCAGGGCTCCTCCTTAACAAGGTGCCATCACCCCACCAACACTGAGAGGTGGTCATTCCCAGCCTAAGGGGTGGGGGACTGGAGTGCTGCCAATGTCAGCAAGCCCTGTTGGCTGAGGTCATTACAGGGTTACCTTGCTGGGAGCGTTGGGTCCGTTTTGCAGGGATGAAAGTGGAGGGTTTCTGGCCTGAAGAACAGAGTTGGAGGCCTTACTAATAAAGGGCTGCTGGACTCTTGGAGCCGGTTGCCTCTGATATGGAAGAACTGTATTTGGTGCGGAGTTTGTGAAAACCTGTAATGAATAAGTTATTTCTCATTCAATTTGTTCTTTTGCTTTTCCTAATGAAGTATTTTTTTTTTTTTTTAAAAGCCATGTTTCAGAGCAGGGTCAGCAAACTTCTGTAAAGGGCTAAAGAGTCCTGAGGTTAAGGTGTGTGGGCCACGTATCTTCTCGGAAGTGCTCACCTCTGCCATCCTAGCAGGAAAGCAGCAATGACACCATGAAAAGAATGGGAGTGGCTGTGAGCCAATGAAATGCTGTCTATAGAAACAGGAGGTGGGCTGCATCTGCCTGGCCTGGGGCTGCCTGACCTTCCTTTGGAGCACACACACTTCTCCTGAGCAACTTGCTGGTGCAGACGGCCCTGTGGCTTCCCTCTCAAGTGACAGCTGAATTTCTGACCACCTTACTAGGTGATCTCCTCTCAGGTTTCAGGGTCAGGATGAGCTAATCATCCTCAAGCCTCTCTAGTCTCTTAACTTTACCCATCAGCACCAAGGCCTCCTCCACATCACCTTCCTGGACACCTCAAAAGTAGTATGAATTCTTCTCTGTATTCTCACTGGCCCAGCCTCTGAGTGGCAATAATTCATTACTCTGCTTCAGTTCTATTTTCCTTCTTACACCTAGGTAAGAGTAGTATCAGGTCACTCTCGTCCCCGCTCAGCACTTGCTATCTAGTGATGCCTCTGGGCTTGGGCCTCTGTCCTGTCGTCCTGGCCCAGGTCCTTACTGCAGCTGGGAAGATGCGGAGCCTCCTCGTTGCTCCAAGAACACACTAATGCAGCCCCTACCACACCCACTGGCTCCCTTGCCTTTAAAATCTGTCCCCTTCTGAGAAGCTGTTTCTGCTCTGTTAGAGGTGAGAATTTCCTTCTGTGGAAGGAAATTGCTGGGATTACAGGAACATTTTGTTTAGTTATATAAAGAGTCAGGCGTTTTGAGGATTTTTACAAATACATAGGGATGTTGCTGATAGAGTACTGTATTTCATACAACTTGGTTTATGCATAAAAATATTTAATACACTTTCTTAGTATTCTGAAAGAGGAAAAACCTCCATTTTTATCAAATAATGAGTATTTTATTTATTTTTTTGGATACCAAGGATTGAACCCAGGGGTGCTTTACCACTAAGTCACATCCCCAGCACCCCTCTTCCCTCTTTTTTATTATATTTAGAGACAGGGTCTCACTGAGTTGACGAGGCTGACTTTGAACTCACAATCTTCCTGCTTCAGCCCCCTAGGCTGCTGGGATCACAGGCATATACCACTGCACCTGGTGCATGAGT